TTGTTGAAAAAAATAAATTACTATTGTTAGTTTTTGAACAAAATTTTAACTTATTTTTTTTAGTGAGCTTTTAAAAATTGTTCCGAATACTTTTTTTAGTTTTTAACTTCATTCTGTCTAGACAGACAAAAAATAATAATAATAAAAGTTTATTAAACAAAAACAAGTTGAAAAAAAAGGTCAAGAAAACTATAATTGGACTCAAATTTCTGGTACTTTGGAATTTTCCAACGTTTCAACTCCAAGTAGATAATTTCTGCTCAAATTAGAATCAGTAGATGCTTATGATTTATATCAATCAGTCCTTATTGCTATTCTTACTTTAAAAATGGCAATCGTAATTGTTGGAGAAATGTTTTACATTATGCATGTTTACATATTTGTGATTGAAGAATGCTAATAAAAATTTGAGTTAGGTTAGGGATCGTAAATGATTTATCAAATTTTTACTAAACTTTTTATCAACAATGATAGAGAGTTCTACTTTTGGAGCTTTAAAAGAGTTCTAGTGATGTGGCAAGAGGGAAAAAAAAAAACAAACAAACAAACATAGGCACACACATCATATTAAAATTAGGGGGTAATTTGTTATGAAATATAAACCTCAGGGGGTAAATTGTTATGAAAATACAAACCTCAGGGGGCGGGATGTAATTTCCGAAACCTCAGGGGGGTATCTGTAATTTAACCAAACCTGGAGGGGTGTATATGTAATTTGCCCAACTTTTTATCAACAATGATAGAGAGTTCTACTTTTGGAGCTTTAAAAGAGTTCTAGTGATGTGGCAAGAGGGAAAAAAAAAACAAACAAACAAACATAGGCACACACATCATATTATTGAGAGCCTTGATCCAACCCCAGGTGCAGTCGCAATCCGCAGAAATAGCTTCAATCAGAGGTTGCGCGCAACCGCCAATAAAGATATTGCTCTAAAACTCCTTAGAGGTTTGAGAGTGAAAGAAGATTCATCACCGGGCTGGAGATGTCCGAGATATAAGAGCAGAAGAGGCCAAGTGGAAGGTAGCTAACTGCAAGACATAAAGGCCTTTCAGCAGGCAGTCAAGCAGAAGTCTTAGAGGGGATTTTGGAACCGCATACTGACTTTTTTTAATTTGAATAGAAGAGACCTCCAGAGTCAAGAAAATGAGTTTGTTTTGGCCAACGAAAGGTTTGGGCTAATGCGCCGCAGTCGAGGGATTCGACCGATTGATTCGAAATCGATTCTACTTCATTCCCACTCCTTACCGCATCACTAAAACTCTCTTTGGAACTTCAAATTAAAACTCTCAATCTTTATTCATTTTTTATATACTTGTGAGGCTTACACACATAAAAATTCTTAATGATTTATCAAATTTTTTACTAAATCTTTCACATAGGCGTGAGATCCAATATAATTAAAAAAAAAATTAATAAATTATTTGAGATTTATAATATTTTTCTAAAAATTGATTTCACTGCTGGAAAAATGACTTTTAGCGGTTATAAAAACGCCGTTAAAAATTAAAAAACGTGACGTTTAATAAAACGTCGTTAATTAAACGCCGTTAAATCCCTCATTTCCTGTAGTGTTTGGTACGTCACGTGTACTTGTTTCAAAATTATTATATAATTTTTCAATAAGGCAAAACAAACTCCACTGATGGCGATAAACTATAATCACTACAAGTCATTGTGGGGTGTATTCAGATTTCAGTCCTAAATATTTCTACAAAATTTATCTATCATATAACGTGATATCTCATATGTCATTTAAATTGTTAATATAGTTATTATATATTTTGTTTATTATACATTAGATCTCTTTTGATGAAGGTTAAAAGCAGTTTTTTTTTTATTTTTTTTTATTTTTAACCTTTTTTAAGTCATATTATCTCTTTATTTTTTTATATGTTTTTTAAAAAAAAAACTAAAAAAAGTCAAAAAAATTAATTTTTAATCTATTTCTCAAAACAATCTATACGATATTATATTTATTATCATATTAGGTTTTTCTCCTTGTATATAAGGGAATCTTATACATTGTTATAACATCTAATATAATATTCTCCTTACCTCTCTTACATATTGTATTATGGTATCAAAACTATAAGATCCAACCCATCTTTCTAGTTTACCATAGGCAACCGGTGGGGAACCTTATCTTTGATGGCCGCTAATATTTCAAGACATACCTTTACTTTTTGTCTTAATTTATGGCTCCAACTCTTTCGTCTCCATTACTTACTCCAGTGGCCTACTGCTTTGTGACCGCCTACAACTTCTTATTTTTGGGTACATCGGAAATGAAACCCCCTAAAACTTCAACAGAAGGCCTTTTTTTAAAAAAAAAACTAAAAAAAGTCAAAAAAATTAATTTTTAATCTATTTCTCAAAACAATCTATACGATATTATATTTATTATCATATTAGGTTTTTCTCCTTGTATATAAGGGAATCTTATACATTGTTATAACATCTAATATAATATTCTCCTTACCTCTCTTACATATTGTATTATGGTATCAAAACTATAAGATCCAACCCATCTTTCTAGTTTACCATAGGCAACCGGTGGGGAACCTTATCTTTGATGGCCGCTAATATTTCAAGACATACCATTACTTTTTGTCTTAATTTATGGCTCCAACTCTTTCGTCTCCATTACTTACTCCAGTGGCCTACTGCTTTGTGACCACCTACAACTTCTTATTTTTGGGTACATCGGAAATGAAACCCCCTAAAACTTCAAGAGAAGGCCTTAGCGAGTCCTAAACAACTGAACATATGTTTCCACTGAAAAAATATTAAGAATTTCAAATATTTTATTAAATATTTTATTAAATATCTCACATAAATATATAAATCTCATATAAATCTCATAATCATATAAAATATTTAATAAATATTTAAAATTTCTAACATTAAAATTTGAATTGCCCTTCTTTTATATCATATGGTCTTTCTCGTCTGATTTGTCCGCCACTTTGCTATTGTTCAATCACATGGGCTGGTCGCCTTAGTGATTTGTTTCCTTTTTGTCTACTTCTCCATCTTTTCAAGCCCAATTCTTGTTGCTCTTACGAGTCATCATCTTCCACTAAAAAAAATAAAAAAAATTGTTTTTTTTTTATTTTTATTTTATTGTTATTATTTTAATCATCATTCCCTTTTAGTCTTGCTCGCCACTGTGATGCCACCCCCTCTGGTACCATCAACAAATTTTCAATTCACCCACTCTCTCTCCCCCTCGCGTAAAAAAAAAAAAAAAAAAAAAATTCTTTTATAATATTTTTTTTTTCTTTCTATAATATCACTATATTGATTTATTTCTACCCCAACTCATTTTGTTTTATCCCCATCATATTTTATTATTTTTACTTGCAATTCAATTTTATTATTATTATTATTTTTTTTGTTGTATGCTTCCACTCTCTCTTAGTTATCTCTTTCAATCTCAAATAGGTTTCTATTTTAAAACCTATTTAAATTTGAGAGGGATAATATACTTATATTATAGTAAGCATGGTGATATACCATGCAAACCACCCAATCCGCCCTCATTGGCTCACCACCTAAGTCATCCCTTGGCTTACCACCCAAGTCATCTTCATTGGCGCACCACCTAAGTCGCCCTCCTCGGCGTACCACCCAAGCCGCTCCCTTAATGCAACCACCGAAATCGCCTCCTTAGCACACCACTGAGGCCACCCTCATTGGCATACTATCTAAGTTGTTCCCTTGGTGTACTACCTAAGTCTTGGCGCACTTCTTTAACCATCTCCCTTGGCGCGCTCTCTTAGCTACCTCCCTGGCACACTCCTTAAGTTGCCCCATTGGCGCATTTTTTTGTTCCTTTCCAAGCCACTTCTTGGCGCACGTGGATTATTTCCAAGCTGCCCCCTAGCGCAAATGGTTCCCTTTCAAGTCTCCCCTTAGCATACTTCTTTATCTGTTGCTATCATGGTTTAACACCACGTCATAGGTTAAGTGTGTGCCATGTTTGTTAGTTTAACATCTAGTTCTGGAACAGTCCAAAATGATCCTAAAAACTATCATCCGGTTAAGATTTCTTTGCTCTCAGCTTCTTCTATGACGGTCCGGTACGACCTCACCAAAAATTATCTCCCGACATTAGCACTGACCTCTAATCTATCTCAAGCGCCCTTGCACTCCAATTCGAACTCTACAATCTATTTGCCTTGGTTCTATCCGTATTTTATTTTATTATTAGTTTTATTTCATGTTTTAGTTTCTTTTTTCAATATATTCGTTACCATACTTAGATTTCTCTCATCTTACATAAAGGAGTCTTGTATACATCATTACAACATTTAATATAATATTCTCCTTCTCTTTCTTAGATATTGTAACATAAATATTGGTATGAAATATGAGATTTGTTCTTCCAATAGCGTCATTATTGGATATACAACTCCTTATAAGATTGCTCTAAAAACAAGTATACAGGTGAGATATCAAATACCATAAAATAAATAAAATAAATTTAAAAAAAAAGTGAAATCCTTCCTAATACCAATTAGTTTTAGGAGATATGAAACTTGATTTGATAAATAGAATGAGAGCTTGGTTGTCATAGATTAGAGTGGTGGGAGCCTCATCGTGGAAGATAAATTATTGAGTATATAATACCACTCCCTGTGACCTCCCTAACACCAATTGTTTATACCTATCCCAAAAAAAAAAATATCAGTTGTTTTAATAATGAAATTTATCTTAGTATTCACCATAGGAAATTCGATTTTTAGCGGTATTTTAAAAACGCCGCGAAAAGCCTGAAAAACGCCGTAATATCTTATAGTGACATGTAAAATTTTCGCCGCTGATAGGGCCGCCGCAATAGCTACACAATGTTTGAAAAACGTCGCTAAAAACATTATACGGCGTTTCTTAAAACGCTGCAAAATCTTTGACGACCGTCTCGCCTTTCGTCCCCAATTAACGAAAACGCCACTGATTTTTATTTTTTTATTCCCTAGTAATTTTACAAAAGAACAAATTTGAATCTTTTTTCCTCTTAGAAACCAACTTCTTTTGTTTTTCAAACATACCTAGTTAGTTCTGTATCAAATTTTCTCATTCTGAGAGGAAAAGGGACCAATTTTTCAGTACCCTGCTTCCTCCTCTGTTTTCCCCTGTTCCCATTTCCTGGAAAATCCAATTTCCTCAGAAATTTTCCCAGAAATTTTCCAAAATGCAAGAAAACAACGTCCCATTCACATTCACCGGCGGTGCCAATATTCGATCTTCTCTATCTGACCTCATATTAGCAGGCGGAACCACCAACACCTTAGATTCAATCTTCTCTCATTGTCAACCATCAATTCCCACCACCAACCCTGTTCTTGAGCCCTTAGGCTCCTCTGTTTATCTCCGACAAAGAGATTTACTACAAAAATTCTCCGAAGAAAACAGAGCAAACACAGTATTTTCACAGTTTTCCATACCCAACCCACTTCAAAACCCTGTATACACAAGCAATTACACGAGTCAATTGAAGAAAAAGCAGTACAGAGGAGTGAGACAGAGGCATTGGGGGAAATGGGTGGCTGAGATTAGACTCCCTCAGAACAGAATGAGGGTTTGGTTGGGAACTTATGATACTGCAGAGGCTGCGGCCTACGCCTATGATCGTGCGGCGTATAAGCTTCGCGGAGAATACGCACGAATGAATTTCCCAAATCTTCGCGATGTGAATGAGTTGGGAATCGGAGATTGCGCGAAATTGAATGCTTTGAAGTCTGTAGTGGATGCAAAGATTGAAGCAATATGCCAAAAAATGAAAAGAGAGAAAAAGGCTAGGACAAGTGGGAAAAATTGTGGGTGTTCTAGTGATAGAATTAGGATTGGGGATGATAATGAGAAAGAAATGAAGGTTGATTCATCTCCGTCGTCGTCGTCATCGTCGCTGTTGTCTCCAACTGTGTCCTCTGTTTCCGGCGAGTGTCCGATGGTGGTGGCAGACTTGGAGTTTGAAGAAGGCTGCTCGCTCGAGCGAATGCCGTCGTTCGATCCGGAGTTGATTTGGGAAATTCTTGCTAATTAGAAGAGGATTTTGCATTCCATTTCTTAATCTTTGAGTCAAAAGTTGTTAAAATGTAAATGGTAATTTTGAAGGACAAGCCATAGAAGCAAGTATGATTTGCTGTCCTTGTTATTAAATCTGGTTTTTGTGAAATTTGGGTATTTGTTTATGGTATTAGTTAAGGGTAATTTTGGTGTTGTTTGGCCCTTCTTGTTTTTATTTGAAGGCATTAGGAAAGTTTTTGAGGTTGTTACCTTACTAGATCAGAAATTTGTGGGACCTTCTGTTAGTTATTATGAGCCTTAATAAAGATTATGTCTGTTTGTGTTATTTTTTATGATTGAATGTCTCAGCTCTTGCTTCACAATTTTATTTAAGTTTCTCTGAAATTTCTTGCCAGGATTAAACCAAAAAGGAGGTGCCTTATACCACAAATTTTCAATTATCGCAGAAAGGAATGAGTTGTAAAACAAACCAAGTACTCGAGTTTAACTTGTCAAAATTCGTTTCAGTCTAACTTGCACATGTTGTGATGCTTGTTAATTTTTTGATACACCAGTTAAAACTCAATTGAGATCGATTAAAAACATAAAACAAATTTAGATTGAATACATTTTTTATTTTTATTTTTTTGAGTTTTGAAATCAAATTTGAACTACTCATTACTCTGCTGAATTCATTTATAGCCATTCCAATAACTAATTCATTCCCTATCTAAAAATCAAGACTAAAGATCAAGACTAAAAGTCGCCGGACTAGACACCCCTTGGTTTTGCTCTAATGATTTAAAATCCGGATCGGACCGGTGAAACCGGGACCCAGGCCTAGTTCTGGCCTGGAAGAATCCCAAAATCCGAACTAGGCTGAAAACCAACTTAGATTGCGAAAACCAGAAGCACTTTCTTTTCTTTTGTTTCTTTCTTATATTTATATTTATATATATATATATATATATATTTCAAAATGTTGACTAAAAACTCTTATTTCAAGAGTCTCCTCTCATGAGGAGAAGTCTCATTGAAAGCTTGAAAAGATTATGAAAGGTCATTTCTATTTATAGGAAAAGATTTTTTAAAAAGAACTTATAAAATTTTATGTGGAATTCAATCAAATTATTTGAATCATATTAATTGGAGGGAGAATTGAAAATTTCATTTCCCTCCAAAATTAAATCTACCATTCAATCAATTGTTTGGAGGGAATATTAAAAAATTAAATTTCTTTAAAACAAGTGACTTTTTTTTATCAATTAGGACTTTATTAAATATTATTAATAAATAGTACCCAACAATTTTTTTTTATTTGAGTATTTATATATATTTTTATTTATTTATAATTGACGCCGAACACATTACCTTTCATTGGAAAAACTTCTATCCTAGCTCCGTCATTAGGCAGCAATGAAAATTTGATGCATTACTTTCAGGGGCATACATCGGATGGTGTTAGGTAGTAACGAATTTACCCTCTCCGATCGTACTGCCGTAAGTGCAGAAAGCATCAGGGCAGTGTTCAAGTGGGCTCTTGAACTCGGCCATTGTCCGATATTCAATTTTGCCTAGAACCTCAATCAAGGGGCAAGTGCTCGCCGACTTTGGGGCCAAATTCACTGGAGGCCTCGCCGACTTTAAGTTCTGATCAAATTCAACCTTAAGTAACGAACTGGAAGATTTATTTGGGGACATTTTTTGGCTGTTGTGCTTGATTGGATCATGCATAACACGGCAGTTGGGTTTGTGTCGTGTAAATCATGGCTATACCCTTGGGACGGGGTAATAATCAAGCACAGTCAAACTTGGGCTTCGATAGCATCGAACAATGAGGCCGGAATACGAAGCACTATACCGGCTTACGCTCTCTTGTCTACGAGCAGCTGCTTATCTTCTGCGACTCCAAAGCTAGTCCAATCAACCAATGTGAAGGGAATTACGCAAGCCAAAAATACCGATTTTTTATTTTTATAAGGCAGCTTACATGAAAACGGCGAGTCTTTGCCGGCAAAATATCGTACCATCATGACTAAATCAAATAACCTTGGGATCAGAACTCGCAGCCGAATGCCCTGCCTTGCCTTAGCCTCTCCATTCAACTCAGAAAGTTAAACGGACAATTTGAAGTAGGATTCTCCCTGGAGCCGAGGCTTGCCCCGTGAAGTCGAGTCAGATCAATATCATAAATTATGTGTTCGCGAAAGGTAATAGTGACCGGATGGGACCTTTATTGGCCGAGCGCCATAGAGTACATTTTTATCTTCCGCAGCGCCACTTTGGCCGAACACCAACGGAGCCACGACATAGGCACACAAGAACATGTACCTGTAAACAAAGCTCCATCTGTGGCGCGATTTACCGTACAGGATATCTATCCTGATAAGCTACAAGGAAATCGCCTTTTGGTTTCATCGTATTAGCTAGAATGCGTTGCATCCGGATAAAGTCGAGAGACTATTTGCTGTATAAACGTAATTTTGCTCTGGTGCCCATCTGGGTATGTGGGTGTGTGCGGTTCCTTGGCTCATCGAAGCTGGTTACATCGTATGTTCGTGGTATTATTGGCCGATCGGAAGTGAATCAAGCATCGTTCTCCTAGCTTCTACCGGAGCCTCAGGGAAAACCTTTGTTTGCTTAGCTGCCGTAGGATTAGTGTTCTAGAAATGCCGTGTTATACTGTGCATGTGGCCTGGTATATACGTTTCCTCGCCCTATTAAACCCATTTGGCCGCTGAGTTAGCTCAATCACTTAGCCGTTTGGGCCGTTTGCTCAATGGGGGCTTGTTTCGGGGCCGTTAGTGATGCTCGCTAACGGCCGGCCTCCCCAGGGGAAATATCATAAGGGCATTCTGTGCTAGTCGTCATATCCAGATTACTTCACAAAAATGGGTCAAAGCGGAGGCTACTAACATTTACGCATTTCTCGAGATTACGCGATGCTATATCGGGTCGTTTTATAGATGGCCGAAGAGAGTTATCTTCCCATACATATCATTGAAGTTCCTTATTATCAAGTGAGTGCTACTCACTATCTCATGTAGAGACAGATTTCTCCGACAGAGCCCTACTGTGTATGATATTTCGTGCAGTTTATTCCGTGGTGTGGATTTTTTTGGACGTGTTGGTTTCCCTTTTTTCTCTTTACTTTTTTTATCCTAGTTCTACGGCAGTAGGCCGTCAGCCAGGACCATCCCGTCGCGACACTAGGCCATCGCAAGTGATATGAGCGTAGAGTAGTAACGACATCCAACGCCAGACGGATGTCGCCATAGAGGCAGCACACAGAGACAGTTTTCCGGAGCTCAGTAATTGTGGGCTCACTTTGTGCGTTACTTCATACACCTCCTAGAGGAACTCAATCTTCTACTGAGGGAATACAGTCGCTTTCCTCTTTAGTGGTGCTTTTCGGGAACTAAGCAATCAATAAGACCCTCGTGCAGAGGCTACGCTGGTACCCAATCTTTGAAGTCGGATATGTAGTATTGTATACACTTTATCTCTCCATTTGGCTGCTCTGGATGTACTCTGATTGAAGGAGGACTCGACTCGTCCGGGTATAGTCCTGTTCTCCATTGCGTATCTGTTCTCGGTCAATACCAGTACCACAGACCTGGCGATTGCGAGTGACAGAGTCAGGTACGCTGACCAACTGCTCCGTTCCGGTACCGGCGTCACCAGGGAGGAAGGAAATTGGAACCACTCAGCACGGCGCCTGTGCGCCGGGCTATACTGCAACCCAGGCGATTTGCCTACGGACTTAGGCATTACGGATCAACGTTGCCAAGTCTGGCACCTGATATCGTCCGAGGGGGCTAAAAGTGGAAGCGCTCAACACACAAAACTTGAAAGCCGGAACAGCCCGAACACCGTTGACCCATCAACCTTCGGGCGCTCTTAGGAACCCTTCAGATTGTTGAAGCTCTTTGTTGGCGAAATGTGGAAACTTTTGTTGGGATGGGAGCCGGACCTTCGAACTGTTAGCAGCTCGCAAGTCGT